TTTTCTTTAGAGGTCATTTAAGGCAGCCAGTCATTCAAAACCCACAGCAGCTATCAGTGTTTCAAACTTAACCAAATTCGAAATCTTTTCGCATCAAATATACAAGATTACCGTCTAATAACCAGCTTTCCCAAGCAATGTTTGCAGTACAATATAGTATCGTTGTGTGGCATATTTCCTGTTTCACAAGTATTTTAGGAGTAGATTCTTCCTGATAACACATCTACAGCTGTTATATCACAGACTATGGAAGAATAAAGAAGAACAGCAGTGGATTTACCAGTAAATGCCTCATGTCCGACGCTGCTCTCTGTTGAGCTTGTTGATTCTTGTCTAGTCGGGGCCCTTACAAGGACACACACATATTGCAGAGCTTTTGAACCAGAGCCAGGCAGTCAGGAGGGGAAAGATCACTCTGAACAGCCAAGCTGCCAGCTGATTCACTCAACTGTAAAGCAGTAGTCCTTTTTCATATTTACAAAGCATATTGTAATAAGTTTTTCATTGAAGCATAATACCTTAAAATGTCTTAAACTATTTGTCATGAATAGAGCCTGTTAAAAGGTCCTATACTGCTTACACCTAAAGTTAAAGATGATTAAATATCAACACAATTCATAACTGTCCCGAAATTCTCAAGAATGCGGGGTCATCATTTTATTTTACAACAGATAAACCTTTCTTAAAATATAAAGTCATGATTTTGTTTGGAATTAACCATTTTGATTTTTGCAACTTTACCTACCAAACCTTCAAAAATAAAATAAAATGAAGTTAAAAATAAAATAAAATATTGAAATAAATAACACATCAGACTAATAAGCGTTTAATTTAATTTTAAACTGAATTTTTTGCAAAAATCGAATATTTTATTTTTATTACATTTTTATTAAATCTATGTTTCCTATAAACATTAGTATTTGATTGGTTAACATCTTTCAAAGGCAATTTTAAGTGACATTTTGCTTTGTGAAGTAATATATAACACGTTATGTAACATTCCACTGTGTGCATATTTAACAAAACCATGTTTAATTCAAGGTAATTATTGAAAAAATGTTGAATGGCTAAACAATATAAAATGATTGTTTTGTTTATTTTGGTTAAAAGAAAGGAGCCATTTCAGCCTGTTCGCTCTTAAGTGGGTTACGGAATTTTGCCTTTTTTTCATATATGGAGCTAAAACTACGGCATTAAAGGGTACTGTATTATCATTAACATCTTGCATTTTTCAATTGCCACAATTAAGACTGCACAGGTGATTCTCACATTCTCCCTGGTCTCTTTCTAATCATAATGCATGGCAGTATCACTTCCTTTTTCTCAGGCATGCAAACATAGAACATTCACTATGTTTCGCTTCTGCATTAGACCAGGGGAAAGGAAACTGATGCTGACGCTCTGTCACTGGAGCTCAGAACTGCAGGATCAACATGAGCTACGGTAGTTATTTATATAATTCTAGTTATATATACATTTACAAGAGCTATATAGAACCTAATTTCTGAAGTCATACTGCAGTTATTTTGAATTCATAGATTTTGCTTTAACTGTATTGTGCTGTGTTGTTTCAGATAAGCACATCCTCTGGGCCTGCACCGCTGCTCTGCTCACTGGTTGGGTCCTCACGTATGATAATGGACTCTGTTCTGGGGCTGTCACGAGGCAGTAAGACACAAAAATTCAAATATTCTTTAATTAATAAATCAGCATACGTTATTGACTAGCAGAGACCAGCAGTCATTTATCTATCAATATTTAAAGGAATAGTTCACCCCAAAGTGAACATTTGGTGAATTTATACTCACCCTCAGGCCATCTAAGATGTGGATGATCGTTTTTTTATTCATTGTAACAGATTTGGAGAAATTTAGCTTTACATTTTAGCATTATCACTTGCTCACCAATGAATCCTCTGCAGTGAATGGGTGCCGTCAGAATGAGAGTCCAAACAGCTGATTAAAACATCACAGTAATCAACACGACTCCATCGATTAATATCTTGTGAAGTGAAAAGCTGCATGTTTATAATAAATAAATCTATCATTAAGACATTTTAGCTTTTTAAACGGTCGCTTCTGAACAAAATACCAGTCTATAATCCATAATAAAGCTTCCTCCTTTAAAAAGTCCTTCCCCTGTTGTTCTCTCACATCAAAATCCACTGACATATTTGTTTACAGCTGTTCGTGTGAGAAGTGATTCAATGCTAAATTTCTCCAGATCTTTTCAGATGAAGAAACACCATTTCATTTTTGGGTGAACTATTCCTTTAAATACCGCAAATGAACACAATTAAATAGACAATAAAAGGATGTAATTAAACAGAAATGCAGGGCTGCACAGAATTTGAAAAAGAGAAAGGTACAGCAAATAGAAAGAAAAAGTAGGCCTACAACTGCTTTTTCATTTTCAGCTCGTGCAACTGGACTTGTATGCATCTCACTCTTCAGTGGCCTGGGAGTTTCTGTATAGTATGTCTTTATATTTTATATATTACACCAGTGCTAGTAAACTTTAAACAAGACTCTATTGCAATCTGTCTGAAATCATATGAAGAGCAACTGATATTGATATCAGTGCTTCATTTAAAACCAGTTGTGATCTCTGCCTTTCATGTTACTTCTGCTTAACATGATCAGTCTTCTCTTTCCTGTCCTCCTACAGGGTATTAACAACAAAACCATTTGCAAAATACCACAGACTGTTCGAAAATGGACCATCCATGGTCTATGGTGAGGAATTCAGGGGCTGTTGTTCCCATTCCCGCTCATCTGAAAATTAACACTTCACTGGAACATTCTGTGCTTTTGATTGGTCTTTCTTTTATTATTTCTGACATTATTATTCATTTCTTTGTTTTGAAAATTTCGAATGACATTTAGGCCTGTACGTACTGGGCACTGCTGTGACTGTTGGCCGATATATCATTCGCATCTTCAGGTAAAAATGCTTCCACCACTATTTGTTTGTATGTATTTATTTGAAGCGTTAAATATAAAATGTAACATCATGTTTATGTTCAGGAAATTGAGCCTGAACTCACTCAGCTGTGGCCATCGTTAATAAAAGGAAAGCACTTCTTCTACTTCTGGTAAACACAAACTATGAACTTTTGTGATTTAATGTATCGCCGCCTGAAGCACAATGATATTAATATTTCCATAGTACATTTCCATAGTAAAGGTGGTCACTTGTATCGTTGCCTAGTGAAAATTTGCAAGCCAAATCCAATTCCAGTAGGTATCCGCATGATCAGGAGTTTCGCATGATTAAAAAAGTTTACACGTCGTATAGGCTACATAATTGACAAAGGCCACTCATGAGAAAGTGTATGTAGATCAAAATGAAAAAAGAGCTTTTTTAACTTAATGCCTGGTATGTCTGATGGTAGCTCATACATATTTTCACTGCTAAGAAGCAGTAGTGATTGATTTGATTTGATTTGGTTTGGCAGGAGGGATGAATGGATTAAACATGGAACGTGTGCAGGCTGTGAGGAGAGCATGGGTTCACCGCTTCTCTATTTCCAGGTCGCAGTCAAGCTTCGGAAACACTTTGACATTGATAAGTGGGTGTTATTAGCATGATAATAACATTATATACCATGATTTTGTCTTATCATGAGCTCATCTGTTTCCCCCATTTCATTTTTTGTAGCATCTTGGAAAGCTCTGGAATCAAAACCTCATGTGATGTGTCATACAAGGTAAGTTTATTGGATTGGCTATGTTTCATAATGTCTTGGATTTAATACAAGCAACACTTCATCAATCTTAACATGATGTGATCTGCAGCATGACGACATACGTGGTGTTCTGACCCCGCTGCTGGGACAAAACTATGATTTGCAATGTGTGACGGACAGCGAGGTGAGAGAATTCAATGTTAAATTATATTTACTACATTCAGTCGAGAATATCAAGAAATACAGTTTTATAGTGATCGTCAACTGAACGATCCCGACATCCCGAGGTGTAGGCCTAAAACACATTTGTACATTGCTTCCTGTCCAGCAGATGGCACTAGATAATAAATCATATTCAAGTTGTCTTCGTGGGGGTCACGCAAAAACAGCGCGTGTGGTCTGATTCACGAACAAATAATGAAGAGATAAAGCCAGCTTCATTAAATAAATGACTCTTATGAGTCGGTTCTTTTAATTAATAGTTCATATGACGAGTTATGATTCAGCTGTTAAATACTGTATAAATTTAACAATCTCCAAGAGTTTCTTTCATATGGAAGCAAAAATTGCATTATACCGGAAATATACTCAGATAAATTAGGACTGGAAAATCTGTATTAATACCCAGGTTTAATAACATTAATAAATTATAAGAAATAAAATTACAATCAAATTTAAACCCAAAAGCTTTAAATGGTCTTCATTTTTAGGGTCGTGAAGCGTGGATCCAGCTGAAGGTTAATCTCTTCAGGAACCAAACCCTTGGATGCCCCAAACAAGAGCAAAAGTTTGATAGATTTTCGTGGTTTAACAGCACAGGACATCCCTGTCCAAAGAACACCACCATCTTTTACGTTCCAATTAACTACGAAAATCCTCATGAACCCTGTAACTAAGAGAAGCTGAAGCTATAGACTTTCACTGCTTTCATGTTTGACTATCCTTTTCCAGTTCTCAGATCTGATGCATATGTTCAAATAAAACTTACATAATTCCTAAAGTATTTAACCTTGGGGCATTTTTTCCCATTAGTATATATGCAAATCATAGGGATTAAAGGGTTTTGAAAGACCTTTAATGCACTCAGAATATACACCAATTTCTAATGACATTAAAGGTTCGGAATGTAATGGACCATGATGTTGAATAAACCTTTGTGGTGCAGAGCACAGTGGTTTTTCTCTTCTGCTGGAGCTCAAATCACTCGTAAGTGAATAAAAATGGAATTCTTCTTTATGGTCGATGTTCTAAACACTGGCAGGCAATAAACGGTTTAAAACGAACGGCCATCAGCTATTAAATATTTCATGCGAACACTCAGGATGGATGGCTTTGGGAACTCACGGTTCACATTTTATTTGACAAGAAATCAGTTAGCCAAAAAGTATGTTTCTACACCACAGAAGAAACAGAAAATGGACTATCCACTAAAACCTTAAACTAAGTAAAAAAAAATATATACATATTGTAAAAGGCCAGTTACTTCACAATGTAGATGATGGTGAACAGAAGAAAATCAAAGCTCACTGAAAGTGACTAATCTGCAGCATCTGCATTCGAATAGCAAAATGTTTAAATGCGTGGTGTTCTTCACACTTCCAATTTCCCAAGGAAGCGGAGATTGAGAATCTTCAGTTGCTCATCCAGCTCCATTCTAACAATGCCGTCTTCACCATCAATACTGAGCAGGACTCCTGTGGCCTCCCTGTCCTCTCCCAGAATCACCTTCACCTGAGAAGCACACATTCACATTTATTCATATTGGAGAAACATTTTCCAAATTTGCTGTTATAACACAAGTGACATAATAACAGGGTTCTGACGCTGGATTTGGGACATCTGATTCAGTGGGAGGAGCAGCAGGCTTATATCTAAGTGATATTCTGTCTCTGCTTTTGCACCTGTCCATTTCCTAAACTCCTCACTGCTCATCCACTATATATTTAAAATGGAGACAAAAATTGCCCTGGTTAATTCTCATCACTTCAGTGTCTGCAGCATGGACTTGATTCAAGAGCGATTTCAGGCAAGTATATGCTTCATTGGTTCTTGCAGCTGTGACTTTCATGATTGTGGTCTTGATGTTCTCTAAAAGCTCTAAATTCAGTATTTCCCAAGAATTTAAAGGCCTAAGAGTTTCTGTATGTGTATATGAAATTAGATCATTTATCAAAAAAGTTACATGTTATTCTAGCTATAACAGTAAATTGTTTGCTTTGGTTTACATCTATAGCACGAAAATATATTTATACTGTAATAAGGAGGGCACTTTAAAGTGTATTATATTATATCTGGACTCCATGAGAAGAATTAAACAAAAGGTGATGGTAACGTTGCACAGAAATGTCTAAAATGCTAATTATTGCATACTATTTAACATACTTTTTGTTCATTTATAAGCAATACACAGTATATACTGGATCATGACATATTTAGTAGATTGTAGGGCTGACTAAACATTAATTGACTAAAAATGTATCTACAGAAAGCTTGAAAAGTCTTCTTTAAAATGAACCAATACAGTAGATTGGAAAAGTAAAAAGAAAAGCGTTTTCTTTGCCAAAATTGTGAGATGAAGTTCAAAATCAAAATAACACACCTCAAGATTATCTAAGGCCTTGCGCTAAGAAACTTAAATCACAATAACATCAATCACATTTGGTTACATAAGACCAGCAGTACCTTATTGTTTTTGGTTGGCGTAACAGGTTCCAAGTGTTCACTTGAAATACTAACGACCTTCTCCGTGGCTTGCAGGAAAACGGAGCACATACCCCCCTATGTCAAAGAAGAATTTTTCCATGGATGAATCAGAGTCAAATTGTGATTTCTTAAACAACTAACAGGGTATGATTCATCATAAAATCTAACAGGGAATGGATCGTTATCACAACAGAGACAAGCTTAATCCATTGGCAAAAATGTAAAATCAGCCCCGGGCATCTCAGCACTACATTTGCAATATGCAAATCCAAACTTCACATGCTTCTACTTGCTGAAAGTCACAGCACATCTAGATCCACAAAATCAGATAAAATCACATGTACAACACTCACGGTGACACTCCGGATTACACCGGTCTGATTGATGACGCCTCCGTCCAGGAATGTGTCTTTCACACGCACCATGATGTCTGTGGTGACCCAGTCATTGGAGGCCTGGTCGATGTTAGATCCGGGAGTGTGAGGGTTGTAGCCTCCTGGAGATGGAGCTCCAGGAGTCATTGGACTGTACCCTACCGGACTGGGACTCGGAGTGGCCTGAAGATCACATGAAGCACAATTCAACTCAATACTGTTTGTGCAGCCAATTATTGTGAAAAAAAGCTTTATTGCTCCAAGCTTATGCACCGAATTTGTTTTAGTGTTTTAACTGTGGAAAGACATCAGAAATCTGCTTGTAAACATGGTCATGTAACATTACATTTACCTCAGGAAAGACATTCAATGTCCACAGATTGTTAGTTAACTAGAAAACTCTAGAGATGAGTATTTTGTTATATATGCACTATAATACATTCATTATATTCTTAAGTGATTTCTGCATTATTTAATGAATGTTTGAACAAATCTCTCATGAAGTTATTACATCCACCATTTAGATGTTTATATTTCAGTTATATTACAGTTAACTACAACTAAACTGAATTTTTTTTTTTACTTGAGAGAAACATTAACTGAAATAAAACCGAAAACAATTTTTAATTCAGCTATTGGCCAATATATATATATATATATATATATATATAATGGCCAATCATTCTGTTTTTACAATTAGCATCCTTTGTATTA